ACGAACGAACTTGGCTGGTTTACCGTGGAAATTATCGAGCGCCGCCTTCGGTGTAATTGCAAGAAGTTTCTAATTCGGTATTAATAAGCGATATAGAATGTTACGAGCGGTATAATTAAATGGCTGACAGATAATCCCGCCACCACGACGAAACACCACTTTCGGTGCACGAAATAAGGAAGTGGAAAGTATTTTCGATTTACTTTGAATTGTAGTTGAATTTTAATGAAATGTGTAACTTCATTTTCTAACAATAGTGTAAATATAGTGTTTATATTTAACGAATATGATTATTGAAAGTGTACCGTCTAATTTAAGTATATTACACATTTTATTTACGTTTAAGAATGAAGAAAGAGTCAAAAGAAAACATTATTCGGGTTGAAGGGATAAATATTATAACGATTAAAATTATTTTAAAGTCATACCCTTCAAATTTCAAGGTTGTCTATATTTTTTATATGGTACAATATAATTTTCAATGTATTAATCCTTGTAGTGTGTTTATAAAAACTATTGAACCTTTTACGTTTGAAAGACATTAACTTAGAATATATTTTTAAATCAATATTGATACTGTGATTAGACCAAACGTGAATTTATCTTAAAATAAAAATAAATACAGACTGAGAGTTTCAATCACATCATTTCTCTATAGCTGTATATATAAATATCCACATTTTCTCCATTCAAATGTCTCTCTTACTATGCATGCAATCCCAAGCACTATCATTACTTTTAAAGAATCGCCACAGTGTCGTAACTACGTAGCTAACGTTACTGTTAACGTTACTAACAATATTTTGCATCGTTCAATGGACCCCGTCTCAACAATAGAACCACTAAATCTCAATTCAAGCCCAACAGCCACAGCTCGCTGTTAAAATAGAAAAACGAAAAATTGCTCGCATAACTTTAATTTCAGCAACAAGGACAGTTACTATTATCTTTCCGAAGGGAGACATTTGAATTGGACAAGAGAGTACGTTCGCTGAGCGTATAAAAACCAGCGTACGGGGAACGCAGAAGGATTTGTGGTCAGTGGCAATGGCAGGTCGGCCGTTACGCATTATTTTATTAAACAATTTGTCCGAGCTCCGTTGACAATCGAGGATTGCGCGCGCGGCGTATGCCCAATTATAAAATGTTGATGGAAATTTATAGAAGCCGACTTTCAGCCGGCCGTGCACAAAACTGGGGAACGTTGCAGCATTATATGCCCCGATACGCGCAGGTTTGAAAGGGTGGCCACAGATCGGGGTTTTTTAACCGATTATTATCGGGCCACGGATAAGCCGACAATTCCAGATCGCGGACGGAGCACGAAAAACAAAATCAATTATATGACGTTCGTTATTAGCACTGTTATTGGGCTATACGATTATTCCGTTAGCGACGAGACTCCTACAATTAGGCGCACACTCGCAATTATAGCTGTTTGATTTAGTCATTTCCGATTTTAACGAGATGGTTCATTAACGAAATCGAGCGGACCTCGGGCTTTCATTAAACCGGCCTGGATCGGGCTCCCTACCCCGTTAATTCCGATCGATATGCACGCAAGCTTGTCGGAGGTAATGTGTTTATTGACACGGTTTTTAATTACAACCCGAGCAACGACATATTTCAATAACGTTTAACTCTCCGAATCACGTATTTACTTGAGTTGTTCTGTTTTTTATTTTCTGTCTGTCGAACCTATTAATAAACGAACTGGCATATTCAGGGGAATGGAATTATTTAGTCGGTGTACATTCGGAGGAAATGGAATTCAATATCGCGTAAAAGTCGTAATAATAGTATAAATAGTATGAGAAGTCGTATTTTCGTTTTATAAGGGTAACCTGTGAATTGGTAGATCGATATTGCTAAATAAATTATAATATTGGGTCATCCCATACATAACGCGGTTTCTTATATGTCCTTTATTCTTAAAGATGAAGGTAAAGAAAAGTTTTTTCGAACTAACTATAACGTATAGATAGACAATTTATAGATGATGAAGAAGAATAAGTTTTAGATTAGAAACAGTTTTGTTTTATCTTTAGTTTTAGAAATACACCTATATCTCGCTATACGGCCGCTCTTTATACGACATTTCGCTATAACGGTCTTTTTTAATTATGGCACTTTTTCGATTTACGGTCCACAATGCTGCATTATACGACCAGAAAATATGCTGTACTGTTAGCGACCTTCTGTTTAGTTTTAAACAATCAATTAATTTAATAAGCTTCTAAATTAATTTTAATTTTAATTACAACGTTGGACCAATATTTTATACTGGGTCAATCCACAACAGCGGAAAATGATGATGGCAGTATAGTATAGCTTACTGATTCTTTATGTTAATATTCGTCATTACCCTAAAACAGTTTTTAAACATTTTCTTTTATGTTTTTTATTATATGTATACATATATGCATATGATTTCTTTTGTTTTTTAATTTATATGTTTATTTTTTGAATTTACGTTTATTATTACATCGTCTTGTAATTTTATTTTTATATAAGTATTTTTATAGGCAATAAAAAGAATAAAATGATTTATAAACTAAAAGCCATATTATTTTATAAAAAATTGAAACAGATCTAATCGAATTTCTATGGGTTTGTATCGAAATAAGTGATTCGTTATACGCTTTTTCGCTTTACGGCCAACTTTTCCGGAACATGTCTAGGCCGTAAAGTGGGATATGGTAAAAGAAATATATAACAATGCATTATTTATGGGAGGGCCCAATATATTATAGTGCTAGAGATTATTGAGTAAAGAATTTTAAGACATGGCGAAGACTCATTCACGAAATCAAATTTATTACATAGCGTATTGATAAATGTATGAAATAGGTATACGAAGTATATATCAACATCTAGAGTTTGTTTCTGCATTCTCATATCCATAAGAAGGTAATTAAAATTGTTATAATTGAAAATTAAATATAATTAAGATACTTAAGGTGCAAATACAATTCTTGAAAAGTAAGTGTAATATTCTTGTATCTACATACAATCTGTTTCCTATATTATAAATAAATTTAATAGAAGGATTAATTTTGAATTTTGTAGTGGCTTTCAGCATTGGAACCGAGAAATAGCGTATAAAATGTTTATTTCCTTATCTGTACATAAATGCTCCTACTATAAGATGCCACAGGTTATTCACTGATATCGATTTATCGATTCTTGTTCTTTGTTCCCTTATTAGCAAATGTATCGTAAATTGTGATTTTTTCAGTCATTGAAGCAGCGGAATTTGAAAGAACTTAGAAATGTGGCCATTCCCGGCAGTCAGCTGAATGTTTTGCTCTCCGGAATTTATCGTTGAACCGCAAGAAAGTGGATTAGCGCGAACAAGAAAGATAAGACCTTTCGTTCAGTAGTTCCACTTCCCTCGATTCTTCGTGTAGCGTTATTCCCAGTATGCGAAAGGATATTCTACCTTGCGTCAAATTCCGCTCGCAGGAGGTAGTCCTGTTTCTATTCAAGTATTTCTGAATATATTACGGAAGAATTTCCATACCTACCTTAATCGCGAATGTATTCAAGGGAAGAATCTTGTATAGAATAAGAACATGGTTGTGAAGTTTCTCAGTAATTTATATATATCCAATATATTATATTGCGCTTAATCGATGAATTTCTTGCCCGATAGAAATCAACAATATTTTTAATAATGCAATAAATCCCATAAAAATATACATCTTCAGATTTCAAAGAATATTCAATACTGTATTACAGCCACTACTGTTTTCAAAAGTCTTTCTTTCAAAAGTTCTTTGGTTGATATTTTTTATTTATAAACAAATACGTATGCAGAGTTTCATAGAAAATTAGGAGTCTGTTTCATCTAAAATTAGTCTTTGATTTCTAAGCTCGATCCAAAGTTGATTAGCACGTAGTATGCTGCGTAACTAATATAATTGATTTTCTTAAAGGCAAAGTTTTATTTAAAACAACTTCATCGAATATTTTTTTTAAATTTTCTTAGGTCGTGCAACGCAGCAGTTAAAGTAATTGAATATTTCCGAGCAATTACAAGACAATTAAAATAGTTAAATATACCAAATGTATACGTTGTATCAATATTCCATGAACCCCGCGAAAGTGTTCTACCATATACTCGTATTGAATAATATAATAAATAGAATAATATTGAAACTGTTGTATGATTGCTTGTTACGTGATGCGTGGTGTAGACATTACTACTCCAGTCCAATAATATAGTACAAACTTCATACTGAGCGAATTTTATTGGGCATATATCCTTCCACTATTAATTCTTTGCATTCGAAAGGTTTTACACTTCATATATTTATTATTATCTAACGAAATATTGATTAACACTAAATCGTGGACACTGGACAACAGTGATTTTAATTAAATTAATTAAAAAATTTTCATTGCGAGTCCTGCTCGTCATTGTATGGCTAGGAGTTAAAAAGTCCCAGGTATTCGGGAGCAGTTTGGGACTGAAGCAATCGATCCCTGATCCTTCATCTCTGAACAAAGATGTCTGTAAACCATTGTTGACCACATGTTTTTATTATTATTAATTAATTATTAATTAATATTATAATTAATTTGTTATTATTTATTAATTATTAATTTTTGGAATCATTTAATACTATTTCTACCGAAGGTGTCAAAAGACACCTATTGAAATTTTAGGTTAAAATTATTTTCTCAGTTTAATCATTTTCCCTGAATTGAATTTTGAACATTTCCTATCGTTAATTTTATGATCGTTATTGGAAAATTCTAAAAGTGAATTCAGAGTAGGCGACTAAACTTTGAAAACAATTTTAAGTTAAAATTTTCCTAGAATATCATATAAGAAGTGAGAAAAACTGAAATCCATCATTTGTTTCACATGTCCCAAGACAAGTTTCATCATGTAGAAGTGTTAGGAGAATAATCCGAGAGTCTTATGGAAGATTCCCATTTGCTGCGATTTTTTAAACAACTACCGGTGTACAAGGTCTCGCGTACAGACTCACCGAGTTTATGTAGTTGATGAGAGACAGCCCGCCGTCCCAAGGGTGCTCGAGCTCACAGGAGATGTTCGCGGGCCTTAACGCGTGCGACTGTTCCAGGGTCCTTAATCCCACGGCAAACACCTGCACACTGTCGTACATCAGCGCCGGTTCCGCCTGGAACGAAAGAGGAAAAACGAAATAGAAACAAAAAGCACGGTCACGCTCTCCTCTAACTCGGTTATTAAATATTTGCGTGGCTTGCCACTTTTACCAAACGACTGTCCAGGGAAAAGCATAAATTATGCGGCAAGTTGAAATCACTTCCTGCGGACGGCTCGGCACTGACCGTTACAGGAAAAATATAAAACATTCCTCGCAGAAAACCGCTTGAAAATTCGGGGACGAGAGCCATGAATTTAAGCCCCGTGGTTTGAGTCGATTTGATCAGAAAGAATGCTTTTTTTTAATTATACTTTTTGTTTCAGTTTGAAATTCATTGAAAACTTTGGGCGCATAATGTATAATAGTTCATGCGTGTATAATAATGGAGGTACTGGTAAATATTTTAGCTTAACCGGATGTTAGGCTTAATCTGATTTAATTTCTAAAATATCAATGAAGTATTAAGCTCATTACGGATCCTGTCAAGCTTGTTGAACTAACTTAATTGTTTCATTAACTACTGGTGATAATTTATCTTCGATATTCTTATGTATCTTTGATATTTAATTTAATGATTATATTTTCTAATTAATTGTTGCTGTGAAGTGTTGTTATAAGAATCTTTAAAATTTATTAACAATAATAATATGAACATTGAAGAAACAGAGCAAAAGAGAGTTTCGAAGTACACATCTTCAGCGATCGAACTGAAAGAAGTTTTCAAGCAAGGAACAATAACTATGCTATAAATCGTTATGTCTGTTGCAGGCAACGTAGAATCTCTTCGATCAGCTGAAAATATTACGTATATACTTTTATTGTAACTTACAGAAGGCAGTAGTACTTGAAACGAAAATAAAGAAGTTGATATATTCAGAATATCAGAATATCATGTCATAAATTTATTACGTAAGCAACGATAATAATATTACATAAATATGACATAACTCTTGTTATAAATATATGACATAAGGATAATTTAGATTTTCTACGAAACTTTTATTTGATTACTTTTTTCACCTCTTCGTAACCCTTTGAGCGGCAAGCAGCGATATATCGCTGATTCGTGCACTAGGGAAAAGTTTCTTTTGATTTTATTAGTAATAAAGGAAGTCTAACATATTTTCAGTATTGTGTAAAAATTTTATGAAATTTACATAAAAATTGGTCGAAGTAAAAAGTTTTGTTTATAATCATGTATCTTTGTTTAAAATTGTCTGACATTTCTCGAATATGTATGAAAATTTCATTAGCCTCATAATTATGAATAATGCTCAGAATTTAAAAAAATGTGTCTGGTAGTCAGGAGAATATATTCAATATAGAAATAAATACAAGGAAATAAAAGAAAGAAGTAACTATAGACCATGGTCGCCAGGATAATAAAATATTCAGTGAAAGGGGAAGAGATTCGATTCAACTGGGACGAGAATTAATTTCGGTCTTCACTTTCCGAGTGTCGTCAGAGCGTTATAAACGTAGCTTGCGCTTCTTGCCGCGTTATGAAAATAATCTAGGCTTCGTCAGCTTTCAGTTTCGCCGGGGACGAGCTTGAAAGCATGACATCGCCGTTGCTAGGATGGGAATGCGCTTCATACCCTTCTCTTGCTTCTACGCAAAATTGGATACACTTTCTGCCGGCGGATTTCCAATTCGGAGAATCCTCTTAATTTTATCACGTATTGCATAAACGGATTGCGATGGAACACACAGTACCGTCAATATTAATTTACATATTCATTATCGGGTTTTATTGAAATTCCGTGATTACTTTCCTCTAGATTAATAATTAAAAAGGGGACTATTGTAGTGTTAAAAGTAACACCTCATTTGTCGTGTTCTTGGGGCTGAAACGAAAATATCAAATTCGCAGGGTGAGTTACCGGAAAGTAAAATAAAAAATTGTGAGTTGTTTGTATTGATACGATGGAATTTGTAAGAAGAAAAGATGAATATTATAAATTATAAATGTAACTGTGCAACAGATCGAGAAAACAATTCATCATACCAAGACAATAGTGTTAGAATTAAAAGATATGGTATTTTAAAGTTTACAGATATTTATCCGAGCATAAAACCATGTTTCTAAAAATTCTTGAGATCACCAGGTTTATACTACATAGTGACAACTAAGACGCATTACTTCTGGAAAATATATAATTAATCAAATTAACTTTTTAATTAGATGCTGTAATTGCTTTTAGTGCTTTGATTCTAAATTCACTAACTACTGACGAATTAGTTTGGACGTGTAATCTGATTAATAGTAATCTGATTGCGATGCACATGCTTGTACTTTGTTATTAAATTTCCTTTTATATCCCCTCTGTATATTTATTATTTAATGTATAGTCTATATATAATGAATATAAAAGTAGATTTTATCATAAATAGCAAAAAAAAAGTATTTTATTCAAACTTTACAATCTAGCACACCTAGTGATTAATACGGATAAGATGTTTTTAAATGAACTGGAATGTAAGGAATAAAAATATATTATGCACTTACTAAAATAATATTAGCAGGCATGCAACACGAAAATAGGGGATCATCCAATTAGCGATAATATTTCCTCATGCGGAATGGAAACGTGACCGATCCGTGGAATTGCATTTAATCAGACTGCAATATGTATATCTCGTCCCCGTATGCTATTTTTCCCTGGCTCCCCATATTTTCGTAATTCCCAACGGCAATGTTATCGCCGTGTTAATGAACCCCATTGCCAATACGATTCCCATAGAATAATTAATAATTTGGTCACAGACGAATGACAATGAACAAATAATTCGATGAAGCTGCTCCCTTGATAAATCGTCCCGGCAACGAACAATAACATGAATTGAAAAAATAAAAGGATCGCCGGGTCGAATTAATTTACATCGGAAATAAACTCTTTGCGATCCAAAGTTTTCCCGATTTTTCATTCTGGGACTACCATCACATTTATTTAATTCAACTGTATTTTAATTTAATTCAACTGTATGGCATTTTACTAATTCATTTGGGACCATTTATCAAATACTAAAATTGTATTGTATTTATATATAAGATTACATACATAACATTGCAATATTACGAATAATAATAACAGAAATTAGTGGAACACTAATTACTAGAATAAAAATAAACCGTATTAATTGCACAACATTGTAATGGTTACTTCAAGCTTGGATATATAAAATCGGGAGCTGTTAATAAATAATTCAATTATTCAAAGTAATGACAGATTGATATGTTCTGTTATTTTCTAGAACTTAAAATTTCGATACATAATTTAGTTTCTTAACACTAACAATGACCCTTTCCTGATTTCTTCATTTTGCAATTATTAAGAAAACAACAGATGTTTCTTCAAGAAATTACTAAAGAAACTGATTTAGCAATACGCGAAATGAATTACAAATCAATTAAAGTCTCAACAGATGAACTCTTGAAGTTTCTACACAGGAATTTCAAAAATTTAATTTAACTACTCAGTAGTTTCAGTGTTAAGCGGACAATGTAATTGATATTAAGTTAAATAGTCGAAAGAAAATACAGAATTTTAAATTAAATTTTAAAACTGGTTATATGATCAAAAGCCGGTCGATCACGGTGGGTTTAATGTTAATGAGAATTTTTAGAAGTTAAAAGAAATCAAAAACTTTTTAGAAATATAAAAAGAAAAACTTAGAAGTTTAAAAAATATTCGTTTTCAAAGGATTACGCGTTCAGTCTGCCTGGATATACCATGACAAGGGGTTAATGCAGTTTTCGTTGTCGAAGCTTTCCTAAAGGCAGCGAGTTTCTTTTCTCGTCCGCTTCTTCTACGCCGATTTCGCATTCAGACGTTTCCGGAGCGCATGTTTGTCACGGGTAAACACATAGAGGAAACATCGAAGCGACGCCCAAACCTTGGGGACATTCCGGTGCTTTCTGCCGAAAGCCAACACGCTCGCACTGAATTTCTTAATCGACTTCGGGGGATGTTCGGCCGAACTGCGGAAGTTTTCCAGGAGAGCGTGTCTAATTATCATCCCGTCGCCCAGGGAGCTTCGTGATAATTAGCGTCGCCCAGCGAATTACGGGACTGAGCTATATCGCGAGGCGGCGCAGCGTCCCGTGAATTTCGCGGGAAAGTTGATCCGACGTTTTAAAAACGTTCCGACGTTGTGGCGATGGAGCTGCGAGAGGTTGCAGATATGCAAATGCCTTAGCGACTTTCTTAACTCTTGATGTGAATCGATATGCAGTCAATTTCTCGATAACTCAAAGATATTTCTATAATATTTCTAAAATATTTTTTAATGTATGCATGTGTGGAAGGTTATGGATATGAGAGATTAGGATAGTTTTAGAAGACATGTATATGTAGAATACGTACACCAAGTCCTTCTTTTAGTAACGAAACTGAAAAATAATATAAAAAAATCCGTCTATATTTTTTTATATTATATGTTCCGGCACGGTTTATTTGGTTGAGACACAGCTATCGGTGCGTAAAGATTTATGGCATGACCAATTATAATCGCTCATGTTCAAACACAGTAATAAGTAAGTTTTGGAACCATTTTATTGCTAGCTGCAATTTTTACATCCGATGTCATAAATGACCAGCTGTCGAAGCTAACATATCATTAAAAAACGGTAGCTCAACCACTTAAACCCCGAGCGCACAGCCACCGGTACCTTTGCAGGTCAGAAGGGACGACGTACCCCCTACCTCCACTACAAGTAATGTGGGAGTAGGTTAAAAAACTGTAATTTGCAACACCCCGAGCGTTTTAGCCTCCTGATTTGCCACTAAGGACACCGCCCTATATCAGTATTTTTATATATATAGAGAGACATTGAGAGACAGACATATAAAAACAAGTTCATTACTAATCACGCTGTACTCACTGGACAACACACACACTTTAACTTTGTATACACATACATATTCCTTTCACTCAATATTCAACAAATACAGTCCACTTTCGAACGAGAAAAGGAGAAGCCTTTTTTTATCATAACAACTATTTCACAC